ACAGGTACATGTCGGTTACCACGACTACCAGTTGTCCTCAGTTTCAGGAGACGCAGGACAGAAGAAGGTTGCTGTAAGCAAAACACACACAGAGTTACACACACACACACACACACACACACACACACTGGATTGATAATGTATTATATTACTATAGAAAATGATGTAATTAGGCTACTCGAGCAATTTAACAACTTCCATTAAAGACATGCATGGCTCATTGACACTGAACCCGCTAATACTATACTCATCAATGGCTTCATTATAATAATAAGAAGACACATCTTCAATTAATGGGAGAATGAGCTACAATAGCTTTACACTGTATACATGTACATGTATGTAGTGTACCACTTTATATTACCTTGAGGCTTATCTTTGGCAGGGCAACTGATGATGCCTCCTCATAGTGAGACTAAAGCACAAAGAACACACATACATCAGTGTAAGAGGCTCTTTAATGGACTCACAGGATCCATGTTCTCAATGCTGTCACTGTCTGATCCTCCTCTCTCTGCTAACTCATCAGAGAATACCAACTCATCCTCTTCTTCTTCACTTGAAACTAACAAAAGAGAGAGAGAGGGGGGGGGAAAGAGGGGGAGAGAGAGAGAGAGAGAGGGAGAGGGAGAGAGAGAGAGGGGGGGGGAAAGAGGGGGAGAGGGAGAGAGAGAGGACATACATGTACATATCATCATTATCTATTCAGTACCTCCTTCAGTTTGATGGTCAGCTGGTGTACTGGTTAATGAACTAACAGTTACCATTGCTAAAGGCTCTGGATTCTTCTCTGAAAACAATTTCACTACGCCCTAAAAATAATAAAAATAAAATAAAAATACACTAACGTATTTACTACGCCACTAATTAGTACATGTATGTGTGTACTTTCTCCCTTCCTCCCTAAGTATGTGGTGTGTGTGACATTACGTGTAATTGTGAATACATTTACTAACAATAATTATACTTTAATCATTGCTGCTCCCACGTCTCTCTCTCTCTCTCTCTCTCTCTCTCCTCTTACTTGAAAGCTCTTCTGGAGAACAAGTGACATGTTCACTTCTCCTCTTGCGAGTGTCTTGTATCCCCTTATGGTTCTGTTACGATAACGTTTCTTACGCTGGAGTCGAATCTGAAGATCATTACCTCCCCTCTTGAGAAAATGAGGATACTAAGAAGAGATAATAACAGTAAATATTATTCTTATGGACACATGTATATACACTGCATGAAGTGATAAAACAATAAACTGATAGCAAAAAATAACAAAATAATTATAACAGGACAGGTAAAGACATACATGCACAATGTACATGCATGAATGGACATGTACATGTACTGTATGCTTGGATGGTGATATGTAAATATGTCAGTGAGAAAGAAATCAATTTTAGCTCCCTGGTTTATTTATGATTAACTTTTGGCAGTAATCATGACTATAATATTATGGTCAAAATGATCCTCCATAAAAGGTAATATGTGTGGGTGGTTTGTCTTCACATTAATGTTGCACTAATACATGTACATGTACCTCTAAGGAGAAGGTGAGGTTCTGTGGTATGTTCATGACACCATTGGCTGGTACTTCCAGTTCATTGGAACGCAGCGAGCGATGAGGAGTCTGTAACAAAAAAAAAACATCAAATCTCACGAGTCACAAAAATTAACACCAATCAGTAAATGAAACTGAGAGTTTATGCTATGTATCTATCTTGAGAAGAATACCTTCATAGACACAGACACGACGACAGACTGTAGCCCTGGCTCTATCTCTTGCAATATTTGTAATCTCGTGATAGTCAGAGAGCATGATCTGTTTAAACACTCAATTACTACCCAACCAGAGTAGCCCGTGCTTACCTGGATACGCAGTTAGGCGGAACTTTCCTTACTTCCCATGTGGAAAAGAACTTCATAGGAAGAGGGCCACCGTCTCTTCCCTCAGTTGCCTCTGCTCTCTCAGAGGAATCCATCATCATGGAGGCCATTTTTATTTTTTGTCAAACCACGCCTTACAAGGTTTACACCACCCACGCATCAGCCCCGCCTATTTTAGGTGGAGCTCGCTGCAATTGCCACTTTGCAATTATAGCAATGGCTAGTCCTGAGCTGAACAAAACTGCAAGGTTTAGAAAGACAGCAAGTGCCGTTCCGAGGCCCAGAAGCTCTTCAATCCGACCTTTTACGGCTTCAAGACCTCGCCGCCCGTACAGTGCATACACTTCAAGAGGATCTGACGAGGACACACCAAAATTTGATGCCCCAGAAACAGACAGGGAATGGTGGAGGGGGTTTGTTAAGGTGCAGCATCCTCTGGTCACTATTGCAATACTTTTATATCTCTCTTAACAATAGGAGACACCCGTCCCTGGAAGCTATCAACACAAATCTTTTACTGAAGAGCTTCAAAGCCAAACAAAGACTTATGGTTTCAGAGCAGTGGGGAGGAGACCAACCAGTGCTCGGTTCTACAGCTCCGGAGAGGTCCTGCTACCAGGAGCTTATGACCATCCTGACTTCTTGCATGATCTAATGCATCGCTCTGCAACATACAACTTTCAAGCAGCAAACAGAGACGCTGGCCCAAAGATAGGTCATGGGTATGGAGATAAGGTAGCTATGATAGTAAAGGAGTTGAGAATAAGAGAGGAATGCATTAATTTGTGCATTAATTTGTGGTTTTGCTTTTCTCCAGGATCTAAATACAAGCCCAGTTTGGTATGACTTGAGGCAGACTGAGACAAGCCAATTTGAGAAAGACAGGAACATGAAGTAAGGCTACAACTATTTCTCCTCAAAAATCAAAGCAATGAATGGGTTTAAACCACGAAGCCTTTTATTTTACACAGCAAACACTTATCATAGGCCATAATTAATTGACTGAACCCAATACAAATGCTATAGTAAAGCATAGTAAAGCAAAGCACTACTATATACTCATCCTACTCCATGTCATCATTCATTCACTTCTAGACAAAGCACATTCAAGTCTCACGTGGACAGGATTATTGAAAGCAACCACCAATTCAGAGTAGTGAGTACTAGTGTACATCTTAATAATACTGCATGCATGCATGGTTACATTTACAAATGACCATTATCAAGAGTAAAGTACTCTTACTGTCATGTGATGTAGGTTTCAGGACCAAGTCCAGGGCAATACGATGACAAAAACACTACAAGGCCGTCATCAGCAACAGTCAACTCAGTGTTTGTATCAAAGGTCCCAAGGTTCAATGAGAGAAATTCCGTTAGTCATAGTTTACTTTACACTATTAACTGTATTGATAAGCTTTTTCATTACCACCTCTTTGTTAATATAATTTCCATTGATGTTACAGAGGGTTCCAGGGCCTGGGACATACAACATAAGCACGTCTGCTTTTGGGGCGCCTAAACCGCTTCCAGCTATTTCACATCATCTCAAGAAGAAAGGAGTCATTGCCATGTGACATAATTACAATGAGTCGATTGTACATTTCTGATTACGTACAATAACGTAACATAGGTCCCTACATGTATATATTTTGTCCTAACTGATTCTATTTAATTAACTTGTTTTTTTTTGTAAAAGTATAGACAAAATAACATTAGACCATTGTATGAGTTTAAAATTAAAGATACAGTCTTTGGAAACTCCGCATCACTTGGCAAAGGCAGTTTTAAAAAACTCTGTGAAGATGATACATAATAAAAGGTGTGGAATGCACAGCAACACCTGCTCACCTTCATAATCCACTTTCCCATCATGATTAGAATCTGCCCTTTCCATCAGATCGTCCAGCTCCTTCTTAGTTAAAGAGTTTCCGACTGCTTCCTTTATCTCACTCTTGCTAAGATACCCATTCCCGTCCTTATCAAACTTGCGACAGATTTCCAAGGCACCTTCAGGGAGTTCTGGCTTTTTTGCCGAGGACTGTTGTTGCGAGGACTAAGAAGGAGGAAACTGAATCTTACAAATAAACAAATAATTCTTACCATCGAGTCAACAGTGGTATCTTCAAAACAACATAGAAGGTTCATTCTCAAGATGACCACAAAGGAGTAAAATAATGGGGAAGGGCCAAATTAATTTTAATTAAGATTAGATCCACTAGTATGGAGTAAGCTCTTGGAACTATGAATGATGACTGTTGTACATATTTATTATAAGTCTTGGATCATAAATAACAAAAACAAACTATGAAAAACATTACTATAATATTCATTCTTTATAGTTTTCCTTCCTTTTTGCATTGGCAGTGCCAATTAGTACACAACCTTTATCATCGCCAACCGTGCTTTCATAATACTTTGTCGCAGTAAAAATAATTTATAAAATAGAAAACTTTTTTAGATAGTAGCAGCTATAGAATTTTCAAACGAACACATTACTACAGTTTTTAAAACAACTATGATAAGCCAGTCTTTGACATCAATGACTCATCATCTTTACAAATTCTATTCAAATGAATCATAACAATACATCAACAATTCAATCACCAAGATTACCTTCATAGTTGACTTGACCGTCTCCGTCAATATCTGCTTCACGTATCATCTCATCAATCTCCTCTTTCGAGAGGTCTTCCCCTAGGTTCACCATCACTTGACGAAGTTCTTCACTAGAAATGAAGCCATTACCATCTTTGTCAAAGACTCGGAATGCTTCCTTTATCTCTTCTTCCGAGTCACCGCCTTTTGATTTCCGAGCCATCATGGTAAGGAACTCAGGGAAGTCGATGGTACCATTACCGTCAATGTCAACTTCATTGATCATGTCTTGTAGCTCAGCCTCTGTTGGATTCTGACCAAGTGACCTCATGACAACTCCAAGCTCCTTTGTAGTGATGGTTCCATCACCATCTTTGTCGAAGAGAGAGAAAGCTTCCTTAAATTCAGCTACTTGCTCTTCACTAAGTTTCTCAGATACACCCTGTACCTAGAAAAGATAAATTAATGATCACTTAGGAGTTGATCTTACTGCAGCAGACATCTTCCTTCAAATGTGGATACACTGAGTAGCTCAAGCTATCTGCTAGCTATTATATCAGAGTGTATTCCCAAGTGTTGCATTTGGGATAGATGCAAGACTTATTCTGATTGGTCACATCCTCCAGTAGACTGGTTGTTATCGTTCATGCAATCTAAACTGCTACATTTAGCACATCGAGCTGCTTTGATTGGTCAAGAGTGATCTACATCCTGATGAATGTTTACACTTCACACTGTTGTATGGCTTCTAAATAGTTCGAACAGTAATAAATATCCTAGTCTAGCTAGCCAGACCACTCCCCAGCCTATAATATGCCGCAGAATAGATGTAGGGACGTAGAATGAAACCAAAATTAATAGTTATATAAATGAAAGCGAAATTACTGACTTTGTCATTACAACAATTTTGATGAGCTATACAATAACATGAGTTTACTAATAAAATAACAAAACACATTATTTAAAAAATCTCTTTGCTATCACTTATTGGTCATCATCTTGACAAACTCTGTAAAGAAATGAAAAATTTCATGATTTATAATTCAAACAATCTCAGAACCATAGCCAGGGAGATTATTAATTTGGGGTGACATGACACTTCCCTTTTGAGTTGGCAGTCTCTTTGTATTTGTGATATCAACTGATATTTAATCCTACTTGTCAGTTTTCACTCCCTTTTATTGCCACCCCCTCTCTTGTGACCCTGGCTATTGGCCAAAATATATTATTACCTTCATAGTTGACTTGACCATCTCCATCAAGATCTGCTTCACGTATCATATCATCCACCTCCTCATCGGTCAAGTTCTCTCCCAGATTTGTCATCACTTGACGAAGCTCTTCGCTAGAAATAAAACCATTGCCATCTTTGTCAAAGACACGGAAAGCCTCTTTGATCTCATCTCTAGTGTCACTGTTTGATCTTTGAGCCATCATGGTAAGGAACTCAGGGAAGTCGATGGTACCGTTACCATCAATGTCAATTTCATTGAGTATGTCCTTCAGCTCAGCCTCTGTTGGTTTCTGGCCAAGTGACCTCATGACAGTCCCAAGCTCCTTTGTGGTGATAGCTCCATCACCATCTTTGTCAAAGAGAGAGAAAGCTTCCTTAAATTCAGCTACTTGCTCTTCAGTGAATTGATCTGGACTTTTCTATCAGAAAAGAAGCTCAAAAAAGATTTATATGTTCTTACTGCAGTAGACATCTTTTCCTACCCACCAAAAGATTACTAGTCTAGAATAGAATCCTTTACTGAGCTTTGCCAGGTAATAACAGGTACAGGGCTACTTATGTAGAGCTACAAGTGTCAGTGCTGCATTTAGAGATCATGCAGCAATCTTTGTAACTGGTCCATTCCAACAGTAGTTAGTCATGATAATTGGATATGAGCCAGACACAGATAGTTAATAAACATTAATAACTAGACTAGCTTCAAATGATTAGTGAAAAATATACAGCCACAGTGCTAATTCGTCAATTAGGCAATGGGCTATGAAAGTAGTTACAAAATCATTAAATATAAATAAATTATGCTAATTCACAAATTGATCATGGATGAAATCAATTGCAAACACTACTACACATTATGTATACCTCAACATTCAGTACCACCCCAATAACTATTGAACCGTACCACTTCAAAATTAATAAAAAAAATTCTTTAAACAACACTAGACTATCTCATCAAATCAAGGATGAAAATAAAGCATGGAATACATTAATTGGTATCTTGGCATAATGTCACATCAAATATTAATTATGTGTGAGTTGCTGCTGTGACAGTTTTTACTTGCTGGTCATCATCTTGACAAATTCTATGGAATAAAAAATATTAAATTATCAGTTGTACAGGAGCATGCAATTGTATTTCTCTAAAATAGGGTTGTATCTTACCATCATAATTGACTTGACCATCTCCATCAATGTCTGCCTCACGTATCATCTCATCCACCTCCTCATCAGTCAATTTCTCTCCCAGATTTGTCATCACGTGGCGGAGTTCTGCAGCAGAAATGAAACCATTACCGTCTTTGTCAAAGACACGGAAAGCCTCTCTGATCTCTTCCTCAGAATCAGTGTCCTTCATCTTTCGGGCCATCATGGTAAGGAACTCAGGGAAGTCAATGGTACCATTGCCATCAGCATCCACTTCGTTGATCATGTCTTGTAGCTCAGCCTCTGTTGGATTCTGACCAAGTGACCTCATGACTGTACCAAGCTCCTTTGTAGTGATGGTTCCATCACCATCTTTGTCAAAGAGAGAGAAAGCTTCCTTGAATTCAGCTATTTGCTCTTCAGTGAGTTGATCAGCAGCCTGAAAAATATTTTTGTCAAATGCTCTAGCAAGTATAATTTATTTTACTGGTCTTACCATTTCTTTTGAATGAGTGAGTGCTTGGAATTGATTTGGTTCAAGGGGCTACACGAAGAGGATCTGTGGATAATTTAATTCCTTGGCGGGCTGGTTATATTGCACACACCCACCCTGACTGTTGCATTTGCAAGGCAAGCAGGGCCGGCTCTGATTGGCCAATTTCTAAACCAGCTGGCATTCCAGAGTCGTTGGCATAACAACAGATGAATCCACTTAGCAACTTCCTCCTAGATCACTTCTGATCCTGATCCTCCCCAGAATTGATTACACACGTGTGCGCCAATTAGAAATGTGCACAATGGCGTACAAAAGATCTGCGCATGCGCAGAAAAGGTTCTTCGAGACCACGTGAAGGATTTTTACAGAAAGACGCCACAAAGAGGTTAGTTTGCTGAGTTTTTCAACTCTATAAATGCATGGAATACATTGTAGAAAAGATTAAAAAAATCACTTAAACTATTTTTGTTAAAATAGGGGCAAGATGCAAATTTTTGTAAAGACCCTTACCGGGAAAACCATCACACTAGAAGTGAGTACCTGGGCATCATTTAGAATAATTTTGAAATCCCGCTCAGGTCGAACCTAGTGATACTATTGAGAATGTGAAAGCCAAGATTCAAGACAAAGAAGGTCTGTTACATACGATTACTGAGACACGACTAAAAATTGATAATTGTAGGCATCCCACCTGATCAGCAGAGGTTGATATTTGCTGGGAAGCAGCTTGAAGATGGCCGCACTCTCTCTGACTACAACATACAGAAGGAGTCCACGCTTCATCTTGTCCTCAGATTGAGAGGCGGCGGAAAGAAGCGAAAGAAGAAGAACTACACGACTCCAAAAAAGATCAAGCACAAGAAGAAGAAGGTCAAACTTGCCGTCCTCAAATATTACAAGGTATCGATAGAATGATTAGAATTAGCGACGAGACTAGATTAGAATCTGATACATAATGGCCTAGAATCTGTGAAAAATCCAATACTTGTACACAATGTGTACATTGTACCTGCTACATGATTTTTTAAAATTATTATTATCACTAGGTTGATGATTCTGGCAAGATCCAGCGATTAAGAAGGGAGTGCCCTAGTCCAGAGTGTGGCGCTGGTATATTTATGGCGGCTCATTTCAATCGGCAGTATTGTGGAAAGTGTGGCCTGACATATATGATTAGAAATGAAACAGAATAGGGTTGTATCTTTTCGAATTTATTAAGAAAAATAATTATTATTGACTTGACATTGCATCTGTCTAAATATTTTACATCTAATGATATAATGCAGTTGATTGTTTGATATTAAGGTATTTGATGACACACCTCTTGATATTAATAAGTGTGGGTGGGGCATACAGAACATTGAGAGAACAAAAATTAATAAATGTTCATAGGAAAGTGGTTCAGGTTAAATGATGATACACACAATGGAAAGAGCTAATGGTTGCTAAATAACAAAATCTAATGGAAACAAGGACAGGTAGGATCCCAAACAAAAATAAGAAATGAAACTCCTACTCTCGTGACAGTGTTGTTTCAGGTCAGCGACGATACTTAAAGTTCATTTTAATGAGATACTTCATGTTAATCTGAGCCACGTCGTACACAATGTACCTACACAAAGAGGAAACACATTAATTAATAAAGAGAAATGAAGGGAGGAGTACTATAGCTACATGTTTCAGATAATTTGCCTCTTTGTTGTGTACACACAGACAAGAAATGATATCAAAATATAGCATTGACTTCATTCTTTCATCCAAAAAATGTCAAAACTTGTCCAATTAACATCTTGGCAACATTTCCTATTCATCATTAGATGTGGACTTACTCATTATAAAGGAGTGATGTGCTCCTTGAGGAACTGGTTGTTCCTTTACCCATTGGTATAATGGCTCCAGATTCACTCACGTAATTACTAGTAGGATCAGGTGCAGTCCTGCCAATACCTTTAGTGCTGTGCTTACCAGCTGGCAGACTAGTAATGTAATCAGCGTGTTCCCTCTCATACCTAAGAGATAATGGGAGTAATGAAGGTAGGGAGGGATAGCAAATGAAGGTAGGAAAGGTAAAGAACTTTTATGTACATGTATAACCATTTTAAAAAATAATAGGTAAATAATTAAACTTTCTACAAAAATTAAATTGCACCGTGTTTCCCACAAAGCATGCATTATGATAAATACAATACAGTAACTTTAAAAATTCGTAAAAATCCAATTTTTATCAGAGTCAGCTCAAACTTGCTACACAAAATAGAACATGTATATGTATTAGAAAAATTTATAAAAATGGAGAATTCTCTCCAAGTTGTTTTTGGCAAAATTTGGCCAAAGTCCTGTACTTATAGTACAGGGTAGAACTTGAAGGTAGTAACAATGAAAACATGCATTAAGGTGTGTGGGATATGTACTATGAGCATGTGTTGATTAGTACTGCAACAATTGCGACAAAATGTCTATGAAAATAAGGAAACATGTCAATTACTACTCCAAGCATAACAAACAGCCCGAACTAGTGCAGGAAATTGGAATAGAAACAAACTTAGCATTTACACATCATTAACATCTTTAGGAGAGGAAACTCTAATTGGTTTCATGTCATAAATAATAATAACATCAAAAATAAAAAGAAACAAGAAGGATAACTAATTTACTAGCACATGTAATAAAAATAGATGTGTACATAACTACATGTATGCATCTTTTGGACAGGAAATTCCTTCTACATGTACATGTATGTTAATTAATGAGTGCCACATACCTTACTGTACAATAACAAACAGTTTAAGTATGAAAAACAAAACAATGATGATGATGTTTCCTAAGAATCATTAGCAAAGAGGATTATCATAAAACACTGCCTGTTCTTGGTGATGTCAATACCAAAACAGAGAGTGCACAATATTTGATAAGTAGCAGATAAATCTATTACCGTTGGATCACTGTCATTTAGGGCAGTATGCTATTAAATGTACAAAGAGAATGCTAATCCAGGTTTTTATTATAAAATTGTAATCACAAAATGTGATCAAACTAGAGCCACATTGGGGAGCAGATTTAAATCCTTCTAAAGCCAGTCCCTCCTACTTACATGTTACCCAGTGCCACCTCACAGAGTAGCATGAGACCCACTGGGCTCTGGGGACTAGTCCAGCAATAATTAGCACTCTTTGAAACCATGTCGGCAAAATACACTCCTTTACCAAACATATACCCTGTCACTGGGGCCTCGGGTGGAGCTATACGTAAACCTATGGGATACAAGGAATATGCTAATGTGTAAAAGAGAAAGTGTTTTAAAGCAGCTTTCTTATAAAAAACATAAGGCAAATGGAGAATAGTTATATTTAATACACTTGACTATTGCTATAGTTTCTTTACCTTGGGATAATATTCCCACAAAATTGGTCAGTCTTGATCCATGCCACAGTAGCATCCTGTTCTCAAGCTTTGAGAACGGCTTGTAACGTTTCTTCTCTCCGTGTCGCTCCAGATTAAAAACCTCTTGGACTTCAAGTTGGTACTGGTTGTGCGTGGCAGCATGCGTATTTGCCACGTACTCCACGAGTCTCTTAAACTCTTCGCTCTCTTTATCGAGGACGCTCATGTTCGTCTTGAGTTTCTCGTAATGAATATCAAGAGGATCCTTGTCGGCCGAGCCTTCACCCTCCGTCTTCAACAAAGAATAAGCAATCTCAATCTCTTTCAAATTGTCTAGCATCAGTATCTTTGATTTTATCATTTCTTCGGTCTCCAGGAGTGGCGGTTTGGCCATCCCAAAATCATGAGGAATGAGCGTGTAGAACCTGTTGGACCCGTCCAGTATTCTCGAAGGATTCTTGGCTCCCGTTAGCTCATTTTGTAACTCGTTTAGGACGGAGTAGGCAGAGAGGATCTGACGCTTTGATAACTTACCGAGTGGCATCTTCTTCATATCAATCTAATAAAGAGAAAGCGCACATGTACATGAAAATTATGAATTATGTAATACAACTCTCAATGGCTACAAATTTCACAAATCCACTGGAAAAATTATTTCCCCCAATCCCCACATTCAGCCATTTTAAATCAATTTCCAACTTAGTGCATGTGATCATGCGTCCCTATAATTAATACATGTATAATACATACATAAAGAGAAAGAGCACATGTACATGAAAATTATTTAATACAGCTCTCCAGGCTATAAATTTCACAAATCTTCCCAAATTCAGCCATTTAAAATCAATTGCAAACTTATTGCATGCGTCCCTATAACTAATATATACATTGTATATTATACATGTACATTGTACGTGTACGATTTCCTTCCTCCCTCTCACTTCAAACTCCATCATGGCATCCTTCATTTTCTGTATGTCAAATATCATTTTTATTAAATCCTGTATCTCTGGGGCTAGTTTTGAATTGCTGCCGGCTCCCGAAAGGCTCAAACTGGGACCTTCCTCTTCGCCATAGTCGATATCAATAGGATAGAACTTTCCAGGGACTTTCCTTGCATGCTTCCTGATGTGCCAGCTGGTGCCGGTCTTCTCTTGATAGAGTCGGAGGAACTCGCTCAAAGCATCGTCCAAATCATATCCAAAATCCTAATTCCAATAATAATAATAATAATAACAAAATAAATAAAAAGAATAAGTGGAGAGAGGCTCATGTAATCAGTAAAAATTTCCTATGCAACATAAGTACATATACATGTATATGCATCAAAAACTCATTAGTTCCATTGTCACGAAATCCGTGACAAGCGAAAAACCCATTAGTTCCAATTTTGATCGGAATCAACTCAAAGTTTCTATACAACGTAAGTACATGTATATGCATCAGAAAAAATCACAAAAGTGGAGAATTCTCTCCTTTTCAATTTTGGCAAAATTTGACCCAAGACCATGTACTATAGTACAGGGACTTTGGCCCAATTTTTGAGCAAATTTAAAAATTCATAAAAAATCCAATTTTGATTGAAATCAGCTCAAACTTGCTACACAACATAAGAACATGTATACGTATCAGATAAAATTATAAAAATGAAGAATTCTCTCCTAGTCAATTTTCGTGAAATTTGGCCAAGTACCCTGTACTATAGTACAGGGACTTTGGCCCAATTTTTGAGTAACTTTAAAAATTCATTAAAAAATCCAATTTTGATCGGAATCAGCTCGAACTTGCTACACAACATAAGAACATGTATATGCATCAGAAAAAATATATAATTTAAAAATTCTCTCCTAGTCATTTTTGATGAAATACCCTGTACTATTATAGTACATGGTCTCATCGTCAAATACACAGCTGTGTATAAAACTTGCCTCTAGTTTGTTCCCTCCAATGGTAGTACCAACACGCCCCCAGGCTCTGAACAGATAGTAGCTCTTTCCACTGTCTGACTCCAAGAGCTGCAACTTATAATATGAATTAGTTCCTTTGGTAATGTCAACGAGACCAAGAACAGCGGTATACTTCTCACCAGACTGCTCGTAGATGTGATGGCTACTGTCCAAACCTATTTAATAAGTAAATAAAGAAATGATCATTTACCATAACTCTATTAGTTATACATTAAATAAATTCTGCAAAAAATTACAAGCTATATACAGTGCATGATACACAACAACCAACAAAAAAACTCTTATTAGCAACTAATATTATTCATGACTAATATCCACATCAGCTTACCACTGTCGGGATCAACAACACCTCCTCCTTTCACTTTCATTTTGACTGTTAGCGGAACTAGAAAAATTAATATTAATGATAATAAATTAATAACAGCTAGTAAATGCACATCATGTACATAGTTATGATAAATTGATAATGAATAAATTGATTGTACATTGTAATCCACACAAATATGAATGACTTTGTCTCTCTCATCTCATTCACCTTTTTCAAATACAGCCGAGTCAGTTTCCTCTCTTCCGTTAGATCCCTCAAGGTGAGGAGACGCAGTCCAAGAACTAATAGTGTGAGACTTGACCTTTCCCAGTGCGTCCCCACTAGCGACATCATCAAGATACTCAATATCAACGACTGGTATCTGATAACGGGACGCAGCACATATAGCAGTGGAGGAGTTCTCTTCAACTTCGGCTTCATTGCTGATGAGGAGGGTCGTGTTACGATTGACTGTCGATGACATCTCTCCTCCAAGCGAGACTATGAGCTTCTTCAGCTCACCCTTTGTTTTAGAGAGACGACCAGAGGAGGCTATTTTAAAACCTGATAGAGGTTTACTGGGATCACTAAAGAGAAAATAAAGACACAAATAAATAATGTACTCTACTATTGTGTCATGTGGTCAAAAGGATATAAAGAAAGAGGGTAATTTAATATATGCATTTACATGCAGGTGCTCATTAATTAGAACATACATTGGTTGCTGTGAGCTTGACGATGCTATACTCCCAACGCTTGGAGAGGGTGTGGGCGGAGCCTCAGGAAACACACGAGTCCTAGGGACATACTTGTATGACTTCCTATAAAAAGACAAGACAAAAAAAAGAGAGTGTTTAAGATCAGTATATATGTATACATTATGCAAAAAATGACTAACAAGAAATCATATTCCTTTAGCTGCTTTGGTATGACCCATTTCCTTCTCTTTGCCTCTGTGGTGGTGTTGGTGCATTTGGTCCAATCAGAGATAAAGCCGGCACAAGAGTACGAGTGGGTCCTTACCCTTAGCTGTCCCCCACACTCCTCACATAAACCTAACGAGCCAAACACCATACCATCAGCACAAGCATCTAATATCTAAGAGAAAAGGAAGAAATAAAGGATTATTAAGCAAAAGATGGAGAGATACAACGGAAGTAAATATAGGGAAGTTAGGGGGAAGGTACGTGACATACACAACTCTCTCCTTTAGGAATAGCTTGTCCGTTTGCATCCAGTAGGTCCTTTAACTCTCCCTTGGTTAGGTGACTCTCTAGCTTGTCACGAATCTTCCATATCATTTCATTCTGTTCCTACGAAAGCCATTGAATCAAAGGAGAACCACACAATGGTGACTTACCCTCAGAGCTTTGTCTTCAGGGCTTTCGGTCTTCTTCTGCTTTTTTGTGGCGTTTTCTTCTCCATCTGCAGACTTACCCTTCTTACGTTTCTTACTATTATTATTAAAAATAAAATAGACGCCAGCTGGTTTAAAATAAATCAAAATTTGTAAAAAAAAGCATGTGCATATGTACATGTATATGTTTACCCTGCAGTAGCTCCTCCCCCTCCATCAATTTTTGCTTGAATTTTTTGTTGATCGTCCCACCTGAGCCCACCCATCCCACCAATCTGTGAGACTGATACCAGCTTCATTTTAGGACCAAAAAAACAACTAAAATGATACCAATGAGGAATCTAAAAATAAAAAGAAAATAAATATTGTATACAATTCACCATTCACTTTAGCGTCAAAATTAGGAGCCTAAAAATAAATAAAAAATAATTTGTATAAAAATCACTCGGTGATTGTTTTTCTTACCTGAACCATCCTGGCCATCCTCAGGGAGTCTTTGGCAATCGTTTCACGGCAGGCTTTACAAGAAGAGCGGTTGGATTTGGCATATTCTGTCCTGTATGGTGGGTCGTCGTCCGCCATAATGTAGCACGTGGGTCTTGAACAGGCGTGGCCGAAGGCGTGATTGCCTAATTCATGGTGGGCGTGGTTTATATCATATGACTGTCACAATTCTGGACTAAATCTTATTTCATTGCACTATCATCTTCTCTAGCACTCTCTGCTCGTCTCTCAATGGCTCACTGGTTCCACAGGAATCCTATAAAAGCTACACAGCCCATGAAATTTGATGGACTAAAGAAATGTGCCAAAGGAAGCAAATGTGATGAATTAATAACGTGAGACTAGAAACACTTAGTCTGATAATTTTAATATTTATATATCATTTTTTTGTTATTTTTATCTTCAGTCAGTTAAAGGTCACCAGACAGAGGCTGTTAGAACTATTTAATAATCATGCCAATTCAGTCGAAGACCTAACTGTTGCATTTACAGAATACATTGGTCTCATTCGAGGACTAGTTGATGCTCCTAATGGAGGAGACAGTAAACTACGCACTCAGACCTTGTTCAAGTGGACGAATACTCTTGGCGGGCGAGTCCCAAGGTAATTCAATAATTAAATAGTTATTTTTAAAGTTATTTTAATAAACAACATGTTGCTATGAAAACTGGCAGACCTCTTGTTAGTTTGATATTAAAAATAACAAATTTGTATAATATCAATGCTTTTTAAAAATAGCATGTATTTTTTAATTTTTCTTTATTTGCTTACCTTTTCTAGTATTCACTCAGATGCCATGTTTGAGCTGATTGCAATAGTAACCAACATGGCCATATGGCACTCAAAACACGCCATGCACTTGGCATCAAGCGATGAGATATCAATGGAGGTTGCTAAAGAGGTCCATCGCAGTTTAAAGATATCGGCCGGGATGTTCCTACACATCAAAGAGAACCTTCTCTCTCGACTCCCAGCCTCGCCTGAGAAAGGTGTTGATACAGACTCAAGAGTCATTGATGCTTATGCACAGCAATCTCAGGCTGAGGCACAGGAAGGTTAGCTTTATCTGATGCATCATGTACATGATTTTATATTGCATGGAAAGATTGAGCTGATCCCGATCGAAATTCGATTTTTTATAGATTTTTAAAGTTGCTTTAAAACTTTGTAATAATAATGTTCCAGTTAGTTTTTGTCACGTTCCTACACAATATATTTTCCTATTCACAGTCCATTCACTTTATACATGACATAAAGAGTGTTTTGTAATGCAAACATTTACATGTACATGTACATTGTGGCTTTTACATGTACATGTACTTCTGCTTATAGTGACAGTGGCAAGAGCTCTTGAGCTGAACCATAAAGCCTCAATTATTTACTCACTCTCACTGGAGACTTCAAATCTATTTGTATTAGCAGGTGAGATTATGATATGTGCAATGTTCATATAATAATACATGTACATCTAAACTAATTGTTATTAATTTTTTGTTTTCACAATTAATGTACATATATGTAGCTGATGCCCTTAAGACACTAGACCAGACTCAGTTTGGCAAGTGGACAGCTTATCTTCAGCTCAAAGGATCAATATATGAAGCATATGTAAAGAATATCTTGTGCATTAGTGCTATTAGTTAAAGTATAATAATTTTAGGCATATTGCTTTTATGGTAAAGAATTACTGGAACAGGAGAAATGTGGAGCTTCTGTCCGTGTCCTACAGCACAGCAAGTTTTGTAAGTCCCTTTTTGTACATTACCCTATGTCCCTCCTTCCTGGCTGTCTCTCTCCATAGTATGTGAATGTGCTACTAAAATATGCGGAAAGTATGCAAAGACAAAGGGAGCAGGGACCATAGCTAAGCCGGAGTATCATCCATTCTTTCAGAAACTAGCACCAATGATTAAGCTACACTTGGACAAGAGCGAGAGAGAAAATGGATTCATGTAAGAAAAAACATGCAGTGAATCAGTCAATCAGTCCTGCATTAGTGTATTGCATATTCATGTATGTTTTTTGCTTTTTACAATATTTGCCTTCTTCTCTTCCCTTTCCTCTCTCTCTCTCTCTCAGATACTATCAGACTGTCCCCAGCGAGTTACCTGAGATACCAAAGCAACAAGTATTTGGTCTAGCAACTCCTGAAGACTTCACTCTCCCTCCTCACCACCCACTATGGACTGAAGAGGTGTATGCTGCTTTTAATGTACCAGAAGGATCAGGGCAAGGAGAAGGACCCACCTATGAATCAAAGGTACATTGTAACTATAATGATAATAAGTAGCAATAGCATTATATATGTACATGTACATTAGTGTAGTGAATATTGTAGTTTATGAAAGACAATCATGCATGTACATGTATATGCTTTCTCTATTTCTATATCCCTTACTCTTTCCTGTTTGTCCTTCTTTGCATCTCTTTCATTATCTTTCATATCCCTTCTCATTGTATTGTTTCCTTTCTCTTTTCTTATTTTCTTACTTACATGTACCTCTTTCCTCTTGTAGGCTGCTGCCAGTCAGGAGGAAATAGCTCCAGTCCCAGAGCCAGACATTGCACCGGCAAAGCATCCACAACCTAAGACAGAATCAGGCTGCATCCTTCAATAATAACTAAATATTATCACAAATTGACATTGTGTAGTGATCCCTACAGTTACTGTGGCCAAGGCCTCACCCTTTTCGCATGTAATAATAATTTATGTGTCTCTGTAATGTATATTGTCTCTATTGTGTCAATAAATTAATTGATAAATTGCATATTGTTTAACTTTAAAACGTGACAGATAATGTAATTTTAATGAAGAGAAAATGTACATGTACATGCAGAGTTTAGTAGTTAGTCATCATCATCACCAAACACAACACCACTTGCTGCTTTCCTCCTATGAATGAAAGCAGTATAAAGTGACTATAGCTATTTAATACTAGACAATGTTACTTCTTAGTGCTAGGATTAATGAGACTGTGTCCAGCTGGTTTGAGCAGTTTATTTGTTCTGCCACTGCTGGTAGAGGATATACCGCCCAGATCTGTTGAGGAGGGCGGGACATAGAGACCACGATGAGTGGATTTCTAATGGAGAGTGAAAGATTAAGCAAAAAGCTCCAGTTTATACTAACTAAGATGCAATCCATAAACCTGGTACATTTTAATACTATTATTATTATTATTACCTTTGCTTCCTCAAGCTGTATCTTTGTATCTATTTATAGCAAATAAAATATGACACTATTTTTTTATAGTGTACATGTACATGTAAATACCTTTGAGATCTTCCTCTAATAATGTGATCCTATCAAACAGTTTAAATACTAAACTCTTTAGTTCTTCCCTGTTGTCATTCGCTGGTAGTTTATTGAGTTCAATGTCAATTTTCCTACCTCCGGAGGACAATACAAGCAATAGTGAAGAGGATGAGGTCACAGAGACGTTAACAATCGAACCATCTTGTAGATAGTCTCTGTGATGAATGAAGGAATTGATGCAGGTGCAATTATATCTCACATATTGTTACCTTAATTCTTTCATAGTTATTTTCTTTTAAAAGAATAGAGGAAGGGAGAGGGAGAGAGGGAGAGAGTGGAGTAATATGCAACTTGTACATTATGCTTCGTTCTTACAAGATCATTTATGAGTGAATCGGAGCTCTTCCATACACTAGTACCATCTGTTAAACTGTAAATAATTAATACTTATATAATAATTGTGCATTTATTCATTCTCCACAGGCAGCCCCACCCCCTTATTAGCTCCACCCACAGCCACACCCAAACACTCACCGTACAATCCATTGCTCATTCTCTACTGTACAGTAGCATATATATGGAGAAGCTTTCCTGAGTATATCCAGTTTGCTTCCTGGATGCTTCAATGAACTGCTCATTTTCTTCAGTGCCCCGCAGAGAGTCTCAGCTAGCAGTAAGCAGCCATGACAGATACGTGAACGGAGGTGACCGATCCCGTGTTACATCATCATCATGGCGGGGATCGGGAAGCACAGACAGATTCCATCACTTGTTGGTACTCCTAATCAGAGCTTTAGGGGTATGCAGACTAGTCAGAGGGGCCCAGTACAGTAAGGATTATAGTTTGAGTGCTTTAACAATGTGTGCTTGTGTTGTAGGGTATTCACGCATTCAGAGGAGGTGTTGGAAGATTCAGACACCTATTCCTTAAGAGCAAAGAACTGGCCAGTCCCAGTCAAAGTACAGGAGGAACTCGTCACACCAGGAAATGGTATATAATTGTGTTTGTGGGTGTGGCTTAACAATTAATTTTATTAAGCTATGGTCATTTTTAACGGTAGCCATTGTTACATTTTCTCATACACATTGATGTCTGTGTGCTATGTAGCCTCGGAAAGTTTGAGCTATTCCCGACAAATAACTTTCAAGTTATAAGCATTTTGGCTCACTGAAGCTTTGACAATACAATTGTTTGTTATTCAAAAACATGTATAGTTTAATAAAGTTATTGTCCCTATGCAAGCAGTCCTGTTAGTTTGTTTTCTACTAGTTTTATCAAGTGGACTGATTGGACTCCATGGATCTGGTTGGGTTGTATTTGTTACTCAAAAGAGAGCTTACCTCTGGAGACAGTCATTAGATCAAGGACCAGTGAGCAGCTCAGCCAACCTCTCTTGATTATTTATTTAAAATCATGAATCATTAAAATCATTATGAATCATTAAAATCTTTAATCGTTTATGTTATTTTGTATAGTCGGGTGTCTCTCATCAGCTCTCTCTGTCTCCTACTGCTTTACAATGGAACTCATCACTGATTGATATTCACTCAGCATTCCCTCATACACCATCCAGCACGTATGTACACATGTACATGTAGTAAATGTATAACATGTTACTATTGTGTAGCATTACTTTAATTGTTGTATATGTACATGTAAATACATGTACATGTACTTATAAAGCAATTGCCAAATGAAGGCACTTACCTGTGCAGATGCAACCATGTATCTACAATTCTACAAACAAAGATGCACAATATATACATGTACATACATGTGCAGTAAATGCATTTAATACAGTACATGTGCATGTACATGAAATACTTATTTTGTTATTTCTTAGGCAAGTACTAGCCGTTTCGCCTGAAGGTATTGCGTCGTTTTGGAAGAACATCCTTCATGAGAGTCCTGACTTTAGCTTGAAACTAGAGCTGAGCAGCGACACTGTACATTCTGTGAGGAAACTTCAAGTGAGAGAGAAGAAGAAGAAGGAAAGAGGATTCTTAACCCTCTCTCTTTTTTATTATTATATAGGGCTCCGATGGATATGTGTTGCTCACTGCTTCAGGATCCTTACTTTTAATAAATACTTCAGTGTCACAGGTATAAGATTTAATGCTGTTATTTTTAAGCTTTAATAATGTGCATAAATTGTACATTTATTCCATCTGGAGTACATGTATCTCTCATAAAACTGTAGTAGACTAGTTTCCAATTATTGTTACATTTTGTTATCCATTAGCCATTGATCACTGTGATCCCAGTTGGTCACCAAAGCCACGCTTTCTCTGGATTTGGTAAGAGACTCTCTTCTCTCTTCTTTGGCGGAGGGACCAAAGGTCTAACTAATGTTAGTATAGCAATTTAATGCCATTTTCTTGCATTATTGCATTTATTTCTTGGCCTATCTAATATTTGATTATAATTTTCATTTGTAGAGTTCAGTTAAAATGGTTACATGGAATGTTAGTGAGCAATCATACGAGTAGGTTTTAATTTATGTAACATGGACAATTGAACATATGTATACCATTCTATTGGAATTATTAGCAGTCCATTCTTATTTTGTATAGTATATTATTTGTATTGACGTCAGCACATCTTCAATGCTGGAAGGTTTATTCTTCACTTGAAATGGACCAGGTAAGCAAAATGTAAAAGAATGATCACATTTTATTGCATTTTTTTAATTTTTTAATTTTTAATGAAGATGATGCTCCTAGACTTTGATGTGTTGTCAATGATCAAAGCTGACTTCCAGGACCTTAAATGGGTATTCACACATACATGTAAATGTACATGTATTCTGTACATATACTATATTTATTTACTTGTACATTATAATTCACTATCATGCAATTACGTTAATTTCAGGTTAATTCTCACTTACGTAAGATGTGGCTATTAGACATGCAAGCAACCTGGTAAGCAAGCACACAATTAAATAATAAAAATGTCTCTGATTGTCATCATCTCTCTAGTGAAGGGCTCATGATATTATTTGGAGCATCAATGGATTCATCAGTGGTACTGTATGGTATTGCTGTATTGCCACTGTACATGGAGTCTCCACCATACTCATGCACTAGTATAATTCAGCTATCACTGACCAATGAGCATCAGGTGAGTATACATGTACATGTACCAGCAAGACTGCATGTAGTATAGTAGTGTAATACTTAGTGTAATAGTAATGATAATGGTTATACATGTAATAGTGTTTTACATTACTCAAAAATCAGGCCAAAGTCCCTGTACTATAGTACAGGGTACTTGGCCAAATTTCACCAAAAATGACATGGAGATAATTCTCCATTTTTATAATTTTTTCTCATGCATATACGTGTTCTTATGTTGTGTAGCAAGTTTGAGCTGATTTCAATTAAAATTGAATTTTTTATGAATTTTTAAACTATTTTGACAAAGTGAAAGTAATAGTAATTATAAAAATGTTTAATTTTGATAATGCTTACATACATATGGTTGGTTAACTTGGTTTATACATGTACCTCTATATAGGATGATACTGAGCCAGTATTGCTTGATGTCTCAATGGAAGGATCTCATTCATCACCACAATTGTCTGTATACACTGGAAACCTCATAATACCAATACACTGTACCTATAACACACGCACACACACACACACACACACACACACTTCAAGCAATGTGTTAGAGGAGTGATTGATATCAAGGAGATTACATTGTACATTAATTTTTTTTAAATTTATTTTATTTTTGGTGTAGGCTCTCATTTGAGTAATGTTAATAACGCTCAGAAGATCTCATTTCCTGAACCAAATCTCATTCTAGGATCAGGTTAGGTCAATGTACTTCAACTGCCAACCTTAATGAAAGAACAATCCTTTCTCTCTCTCTCTAGGCATATTTGAAGGAGACGTATTATTCTTTACTAAACAACACGGAGTCATATCTCTCTCTGCCTTCCCTCCAACGCCATCAGCTTCACCTCCTAAGAAAATTAAGTACATGAGATATGATCCTTTGTCTCTCCTGTTACTCAATTAGGAGTACATGTACATGTACATGTACATATGTGATGTGATCCTCTGTCACTTATTGCTATAATATATCATTAAGAGTACATATGTGATGTGATCCTCTATTTCTTATTTATTAGGAGTACATATGTCACAAGTGGCCAGACACTACAGCAACTACTAACTGCTAGCACTGGAGGAGTACCTACTGATGGAATGGAGACAGAAACAGAGCAGCTCCAACAAGCTTTTCTACTCTATCTAGGAAACAACATGGTAGCAGACTAGCAGTATCTACGATCCTAGTTCTTTCATATTCTCTTTGTCTCTCTCCTCCACGCTCCCTCCTGTTATTATAGGCTGAAGCAGTTGATTTATGCTCTCAGCTGTTTCCAGTTAGTTCGTTTGCAGGTGGTGTCAATACGGCTGGTGATGTATGCTCGATTAGACTCAGTGAAATGATTCTTAATGATGTACCGGCCTCTGATCCAAGATGGAACAAGACAGGTAAGTATGGAATTGGAATTCCTATAGTACATGCATGAAGTATGTAGTATAGTGAAGATTAAAATTGATTATATTTTTTTATTATATTATATTTATCTATTATTATATTATATTTTTATTATTTAATGTGTTTTTAGATACCCTTGGTTCCTATTCACTAATAATACTTAATCAGCTCCAAGATAAGCAGAAAGCTCACCGCAAACTTATTCAATTCCTCATTGATATGGAGCTGCTTAATCTTGTAATTTCTTCACATGCACACACACATAATATTAATATTAAAATATTAATTACTTTGTTTGCCCCATTCCACTGTATTCATGCAGGGTTTCCCACAAAGCATGCTAAGTGAGCTAAACAGCATGAGCTTCATGAGCTGACAAGCACTACAATACAGTACATGGCATTTGGAGTGACTTTAAAAATTCATAAAAAATCCAAGTTTGATCGGAATCGACTCAAAGTTGATGCACAACGTAAGGGCATGTATATGTATCAGAAAAAAATTATAAAATCAAGAATTCTCTTCTAGTCATTTTTGTCAAAATACCCTGTACTTTAGTAAACATAAAAAATTTAAAAAAACTAGATGAAGTAGGATTCCGAATGACCAACGAAAATACGAAATGAAAATCCTACTCGTGACGCAAATTCTACTCTACATTGCAAAGTGATCCGTAATTCTTACATAATAACATTAAAAGTACAATGTAGAGTAGAATTTGCGTCACAAGTAGCATTTTCATTTCGTATTCGTGACGCAAATTCTACTCTACATTGCAAAGTGATCCGTAATTCTTACATAATAACATTAAAAGTACAATGTAGAGTAGAATTTGCGTCACAAGTAGCATTTTCATTTCGTATTTTCGTTGGTCGTTCGGAATCTTACTTCATCTTGTTTTTTTAAATTTTTTAAAGTACAGGGTCATTGGCCGAATTTTGCCAAAAATGACTAGGAGAGAATTCTCTATTTTTATAATATTTTCTGATACATATACATGTTCTTATGTCGTGTAGCAAGTTTGAGCTGATTCCGATTGAATTCAGATTTTTTACGAATTTTTAAAGTTACTCAAAAATCGGGTGAAAGTCCCTGTACTAAAAAATTTAAAAAACAAGACAAGTAGGATTCCGAACAACCAACAAAAATATGAAATGAAAATCCTACTCTCGTGACAAATTCTACTCTATATTGTACTTTTAATGTTATTATGTAAGAATTACGGATCACCTTGCAATGTAGAGTAGAATTTGTGTCACGAGAGTAGGATTTTCATTTTGTATTTTCGTTGGTTGTTCAGAATCCTACTTGTCTTGTTTTTTTAATTTTTTATGTTCTTGTTTGTGTTGATTTTTTTATAATATTTATAATATTTCTTCAGTTACAATTGTGATACTTGTTGATTTTACACAAACAATAATTTTCTTAATCATTATTATCATTGTTATGACTTTACAGCATATGAGATTGAGAGACAGCTCTGATTGAATAGATATGGTGAAGGACTATTTACTATAATGATGATAAGTGAAATTAATGCTATAGTCTTGACAGAGTCCTTGTTCAAAAAGCTCCATCTTCCCTGCAATCCTGTAGCTATTCTGGCCTGTTGTCAAATTCATATTATTGTTGCATTATTCATCAATTTGATTGCTTTTTTTTTAATAAAATAATTCATTACACACTTGATAAAAGAATAATATGCAAGATTAATGCCTTTTCATAGTTGGAAACCTCCACTAAGTAATTGATTCCAAGCATAGCCAGCCTTAGCTAGGTAAGAAAATTGCTTGCTTTTCCCAGTTCTGAGATCTGAGCATGTGCGACGCCCAAATTTTGGAGCACATGCTTCTATAATTAACAAAATGGTGGCATGAGGTAAGTTGGTAAGACCCAACAGTCACAGTATCACTTCTTCTTTCTTGGAGAATGATTCTAGGGGACAAGGACCTGCGCATACCCTATTGGAGTAGAATGGTGTAAGAATTAGCCTTCTATTATGAGCCAAGATTGAGATAAAGACCGACAATTGGATTGACAGGACTAACTTGATGATGAAGATGAAAAAAGGTTGCTGAACAAAACGGCTGGTTCGCCGATTTTTGACTTTTCACTTAGACAAGGTCTAGAGCCACGCTAGCTGTACCATTGGAGTCCTCTGGTCAAGATAAGGTCCTCTAAGAAGTCTGGTAAGCATAGGAGCTTGTTTTCCCGGTATAGCAAGGCTGCAAAAGTAGTGGCAGCCATTTTGTTTGGGGGTGAATCCTACTTAGTAACGCTACCCGCGTTACTAATAGTACAGGGACTTTAGTCTAATTTTTGAGCAACTTGATAAGCCAAAATTTTGTGGGAAGCCCTGATGCATAACGTGTTATTTATTATTTTATTTGCAGTTGACTTGTGTCACTCTCAGAGGGTCAGTGTTGCTAACTCGTAATGTTTTGTGTGAGAATTCAGAGAAGATTGCAGCCAGCATTGCACTGAGGGAAAACCAGAATAAGTGAGAGAGTGCAGGATTATTCATTTTTATTATTATTGTAGAGATGTTGAAGAAGCTGCTAAGATTGTTGTTCAAAAGCGCTCCCCATTATCACAAATACGTCCAGGACTAACCACACAAGATGTATTCTATAGCCAAGTAAAGAATGAAATTCGAGTCTCTAATGTGATTCTAAAGATAAAACTCGTTATATGTAGGTTTCACTGATTGATGAGATATTTCCTCCACTGATACAATCATGCGAGTCTTTCAGTGCTGATGGAGATATGGTTGGTGTCACTAGAATAGCATTCACTATAAAAGTAATGTTAACAGTAATAGTCCTTGTAATATTTTATTTTTTTGTTTTAATACTTTATTTCAGTCCATGTTAAGTAGTGCTATACAGTATCGTATAAGCCATGTTGATTTATATACTAGCAGTAGGCCAATTCGAAGGGTCTATCATACTGAATTTATACCATGGACTGGTGAGACATAACTGTATCTGCATTAGGGATTTTATTCCTCTCTCTTATTAGCCTGTGAAGAGATGTTGGATCTATTGAGAAGGCTCGTGAGTGCATGATAATTTATGATCATGATTGTTTTTTTTTGTATGTTACACATTTATTAGCTTAGTTCAATGCTGGATCAATGGGCCACTTGTGATGATCAGCCAATCAGTGATATTGATCAGGAATCGTTCTGGTCGGTCTATTCTGATCTCGCATCAATTCTGTTCACCGGATCATCTGATCTCTATGACTCTATCAAGTAAAATAATGAAGCCATTCTTGCATTATGAATCATTGTTTAGGGACCATAAAGATAATGAGCATAGAGTGCTAGAGGTTCAAAATTCATTGAGTAAAGACAAAGATCACTTCATTCTTTTGGCTTGTAAGTGCTAAGCTTAAACAATTTACATTTACTGCATTAATTTTGTTATTGTCCTGCACTACAGTGAATCTAGGTAGGGTTGGTTTGGCTCTACAGTTGGCAGAGGAGTGGTCGCACTTTCCCACGATACTGCAAGTATTTGAGGAACAAGGGGATACGGAGCTGCTCAGGAATTATCTGGAAGTTTTTAAAGATAAAGGTTTTGATGAGTTTATCTTCCATTATTATATTGATAATAGTAAGCCCATGTTATAATGATATTGTAGACATACAATTATTGTAATTGCTTTAGAGAACATCAAGCAGTTGATAGAGCTCACTAACTTGTTCCCAGAGTCACTGAGCAAGTTTCTTAATGAGTATCCAGAGCTTCAGTGGCTCCATCTAATAGCCACTGACAAGTATAATGAAGTTAGTGGAAATGATCAGCCACTTTGATGCATCTAACAAAAATCAATGCACCTTATTTATTTATTTATCTTTATTGTTTTATAGGCATCAGAGTCACTGAGAAGAGTATCGGATAATGAGGAAGCTTTCTTATCACGAAAGAAGGTGTGTCATTTACTGCATGGGATATTGTTAAGTTACTGGTACTAGACTGCACTGAGTCTCAGTAAGCTTGCACTGCTGGCTGCTGGGGGCCACTCATCAGGAAAGACTGCTGGTGAGTTGGAGGAGATCAACTGTGAGTTACAAAGGATTGAATATGCTGAGAAACTACCAGAAAATTCACTAAAGGTCAGTTTGTTACTTTCATGCACTTACATTAAATGATCTTTTTATTACTTAGAAAATAGGCGTGAAGGATATTAATGATTTGCCTCCATTGCCTCCTGAAGATGTCATTAAAGTCTGCCATGTTTCCATCTAATTATAATTATTAATGAGTTTTATAGTTGTTTCTTGAAGGAGAAGACAATCAGCTAATGTACACAATGTTTGCACTTAATTATCTTCTACTTGCTTATCCTGTAAGCTTTATAGCATGAGTTTTTTTATACAGACACTTGCTTGCTATATCTTTGATACAGGTTGTTACATTTGTAACTTTGTTAGTATCATTCTGATGCATAATGTAGATCTATGTTGTATAATGTATCGAATATAGGAATCAGAGAGTGAAGAGAGAAGACAGTTACAAGTATTGATCTGGAGTCATGTGTTACTACAAACAAAGCAAGTTCTCTCATAACTTCCATGCAATCAATCAATCTTTTATTCTATTATTAAAATATTACTATTAGTTGGTCTGAGTTCAATACTAGTGGAGACATAATGGAGGAACTTCAGGAATCACTCATGTTTAAGCTGATGAATGAATGCCATCATAATTGTATGCTGTTCCCTCTAGCTTTTCCTCTTATTGATTATATATTTTCTTTCTCTTTTTTTTAGTTGCTGATGTTAAGCAGTTGTTGCCTGCAATTGAAGACTTGCTCTCATCTCAGTTGCTGGTTGATAAAGGACTGGATAGTTCTGCTATATTGATCTATTGTGTCAAGTTGTGCTATGAAAGAGTCACTGAACTCCAGCATTAATTCTTTTGAATTTTTTATGTTGATGATTAGACTGCTATGAATTTTACAGAATGATGAAATAAGGAAGGCCCGTCCCAGATGGGCCCATCCTATCACGCGAGTCTCCGCATCAAATTGTCCATAAAGAGAACTCCCTGTTATTGCTTCCCCTGTTGGGTCATTGTCTTCCGCTGTTTGTGCTTAAGTAGACTGTCCCATAGATACTACATACACAAAGCTTCGAGAGAAATGTTTAACTCTCTTGGCTCTTTCACAACCAGCAGGATTGGTATGTAAATCTATAAGTTGCATGATACCTTTTGCAGATGATCAGTTTTAGTACTAGTTTTACGCTAGATTTACATGTATCATTAGTAATTTACATGTAGAGCTAGATCTAGCTATATGTAGAAAAGAAGATTTTTTACAGGTATCTATTGCTATCAGTTGTGTTTGTTTATAAGCTAAGGTAATTGTGATTTGTTCATGCATTGCACAGGGTCTGGATGGCCGTAGTCTCGCAAGACAGACCCTTCCCACCTACATACAGTCATCATTGGGGTGGACGTCCACCAAATGACTGTAGGCTGGGGAATGGTTTGGCTAGTGAGACTAGGATGGCCTGGGGACTGACCTCTAAGATTCACGGCAAGGGACAACAAGAGGAAAATCATACCACATGCATAAGTTATACTGAAATAAGATAATTGTGATTTGTTCATGCATTGCACGGGGTCTGGATGGGGTGACTGAACTATTTGACCTCTAAAATCATAATTCATTACCATTCCTTAAATAGCAAGAGGCAACAAAAAAAGGAAATCATACCACATGCATAAATTATACTGAAATTAAATTTTTTAGCTCTCCTGCTTGGATGTTCTGGTATATTCGTCCTACTT